GTGGTGTGCTACAGGACAGACTGGGTTTCCATTATATTGTAGTAAAATCTGCACACATACGTAAATGAGAAACATTTTATAAGAGGTGTTTTTTTAAATTTAAGTCTCTGGGGTGATAATCATTCCAGTTGCTGATATGACTTGTGAGGCTGCAGAAGCACTGCACCAGGCTTGAGCAAGCACTCCCTGCTTTTCAGCAAGGCTTGTTTGCTCAGCCGTCCACCAACCTTTAGGCTCCCTGGGCCAGCACACTGAAACTGGCTCACCAGTTCAAGGGGAGAAACCATCTGCCTGGGTGAATTTACTTAGGGAAGTGCTGTGCAAGAGCTTAGTTCCTGTCTTTGCACACACAGCTGCCTTTGTGCTTGGTTGAGGTGATTGCCTTTCAACTCTTGCTTCTGAAGACTTGTTGCAAGGGCGAGTGCAGCCAGGAACAGGCAGGAGAATGCTTTGTTTGGTTATCCAATGTTTATGCTGAGTGTGCCTGGGGGCTACAGTGAGGGCTAGTTCCTGTTTGAGATGAGCCAAGAAGGTGTAGACTCTCCTTTGGAAAACTCATTTAGACTGTAAAGAGGAGACAAAGGAAGTGGGAGGCAGGTGAGGTTTTAATCCTACATTTGTAGACTATGAAAGAAGAACCTGGTGGAGGTTGCACGCAAAGAGTTGGGATGGCATCAGGCCAGCATCATTGGGGAAAAGCTTATATGTTATTAAATTTAGTTCAGTGCAATAGATTCATGTCATTGATTCAGAGGCTTGAATGATTGTTTTTTTTTTTCTCAGAAATGAAACACTGTGGGTTTAGTCCTTATTTATTTTCCTCAGAACTACAGATAATTCTGTTCTTGTTAGAAGCACAGGCTAGATTCAATACTTTATATACTGCCTTCATGTTAAATACATTGGATTTACCATTTTATTGCATCAGTATTTCCACATATTTTTAAATCAAAATCAATCCTAGGATTTCAAATTATTGTTAAGTTTGGTTCTAATTCTTCTGTGTCATTATTAAGTTACAAAGCCCTCCCCCCCATCATAAGTTTTATCAAGTAGTATTTTCAGTAGCCGCCATAAGATATTTGGAAGTTCATTTTAAATCATGTGTCAAATTTCTAGTTAGGATTTGCTGTTACCTTCAGACATTTTTCATAAGCACTAGTTCCCCTCCAGCTTACAGAGACAGACAGGAATTTTTTTCCACTGATAAATTTTATCACTTTATTTTTGAAATAGACATAGAAGTAGTTTTGCACTACTTTATAAAGTCAGGAAGGGGTCTGAGAGTATACATGAATTTGCTACAGCAATTGGATCATGTCTCTAAGGATCATTATACATAAGGAAACTATGCCCTAAGGTGCATTTATGTCATTGGCATTTAGTGTTAGCTCTGTATTTTGTGATTTTAAAGACACATCTGAAGACTTCTGTAGTAAATGGGATAGCCTTTATTCTGAATTCTTAGTGGAAAATTAAAAAAAAAATATTATTCTGCTTCAAACGAAGCTATATGACCCACTATTAATATGTACATTTTTTACCCCATGTATTGTAAATTCTAGTTAGTATGGAATAGGAAGGGTCTGTATAGAATTTAAAAAAAAAAAAAAAAGCAAAGTAGGGGAGAGTGTCTTTCTCTAGCTAATGGACTAGGCATAGTCTCTTAAGGTCAGATAATCTCATTATATTTGTTGACCTCTTGAAGAAAAGATAGTAATTGTTTCAGTTTTCAGCCTAGAATCTTGTGTTCTTGCTTAAGATGTGTTCTTGTGAGTTCTGGAAGAAATAAAATATCAACAGTTTTGTAGGGAAACAGGCAAAAAAGGTTAGACAATGGAGCAAAGGATAAAGAGAAGGTTTAGTGTTTCTTTGTCTTACCTCTGTAGCCTATCTGGTATCTCCATACTGATATATGGAAGTGTATATCTACTTGATATAATCCATAGCTTTGCATTCATTCTCCCATTATAAATATTTTTACCTTGATTTCTGTGCTCTTACTAAAGAATAAAGAAATTCCATCTCAATTTGAGTTTTTCTCATGAGGCAACTAAAAAAAAATTCAGTTAGCTTTGGTTAGAAACAATCTATGAATGCTGGCCATTCTGCAATGGAAAGCATGGTAACTCTACTTTTGAAATGCAGTGTTGTCCTATTAATATGACTTAGCTGGAGGTGTCTGGATGGCAACTAAGACCTGTGGATTAGTACAGGATTTGGTATCATGATGTTGATCCATGGAGTACAGTTTATTCCTTAGTTCTTCAGTGTATACTTAGTTCCAGTTAGCTTTGTAATGGAGCTGTGAGTGGACTAATGTGTGTTGGCAGGACCATTTGGTCTTTTGGGGCTCTTAGCTGCCGCACCACGCTGCTTTGGGTTTCCCTCCAGGGCACCATATTGCACAGAACAAGGGAACAGAATGATCATTACCAGTTGTCACCTACTATATGTCCAGTAAGTGCCTAAGGATTGAACTCGTCTTCTTTACTTACAAGTTGACTGAAGCATTTGGCTTTTCAAGGATGTCTGCAGTTTCTTAAAAACAGTAAAAATCAAGCTCAGATGAATATAATGAAGTAGAAATAGGGTTTTTTCTTTAATACAAGCCCTTATCTGCTTTGAAGATGGCAACAATAATTGGTAATCCTCTGAGACCCTGACCTTCCCCCTTAACAAAGTATCTCTGATATTTCTGTCAGTTTTAACTGTTTTGCATGATTGTTGTGTATGTTCTATATTTAACTATCCAAGGTGCTTCATATTGAATTATACTACAAAAGTTTTGTAGGATATGTTCATTATGTTAAAGAACTTACATGAGGCAGTGTGCTAGATGAAGAGCTGCCTAACTCATTTTAATTTGTTACCTGTTTGGGGGATTCTACAGACCTTAATCAAATTAGGTGTATGCATAATATTTAAAAGCAGGCTTCCACTACTTGGAGATATTGATGGATGAGAAGCTCAACATGACCTGGTAGCCCAAAAAGCCAAGATGTATGGGGCCTCTCCCAATCCAAACCTTTCCCTGATTATATGACAATAAAACTATTGTATGTATTGGTGAAACTACTAGGATTTCTTCTGTTGGAACTTGTGTTATCTTGTGTTATGAGGCAGATCTGCTCTGGGGCACAGGTCTGTCACCATCTGAAACTAACTTACAGGTATAGGGCATATCCAGCAATAAATGAGAAAAGAAATCACAAAGATAAAATTTTGCCATAGACTTGCCAGGTGAACATAAATCCAGGAAAATGCATTGGAGAGCTGCTTTCAAAGGCAGAATAATTTTTTCCCTAAGGAGTAAGACCATGCACTTAATAGTCTGAGAGATTTCGTAAACTGGGTTTACTGGCATTTTTGCTATTATCCTTTTAGGTTTATTTTCTTGCAGCATGTGCATACATGTTCTTGAGTATTGTATTTATTTATTAAAAAATGAAAAATTAACTTCCTTATGAGGGAGAAAAGAGCCTACAGGTGTGGAAAGGAATAGAATCATAGTAGCACAATTTGTTTTGGGTTAGAAGGGACTGTAAAGATTGGCCAGTGACACTTTCCATTAGACCAGGTTGCTTAAAGCCACTCCCAGCCATGGAAATTTCCAGCATTAGAGCAAACCACCAAACCCGACCTTTGAATGATATCTAGAAACTTTGTGCTACAGTACTTTTGCTCAGAAGTGAAGCATGTGTTTTGTGTCCTTTTCAAGTTTTATCAGTTTCAAATAACTGTTCTTTTTGTCGTTTTGATTTGAGTTTGTTTTAAACAAAAGCAGCAGGACAAGAACATGACAAAAACCAGCATAAATTCTCAGAATTCTGGTAAACTTAGGTAAAGTTTCATTCTCCTTCCATGTGCTAAGATTCCTAATCAATATCCAGATCAAGTGTTCTTTTGCTATAAAGAGTCACATTTAATAGTTGATTGTTATGTATAGAAACATAGCAGAACTGGGAATATTTTTAGCAACCCACATTTATTTCACTGATTATCCTTTCAGACATGCAGAAGACATTCATTTACAATATGCCTTTTTCTATTGTACCCAAAATACTTAGAGGCATCTCACAACAAATGTATTGCAAAAGAGCAGTAGTGTCTCAGTTAATCTAGTTCTTTGGAATTTGCTCTTTTCACTTGTCCTCATTTGCAAAGAAAGGATGGCCCAGTAGTTAAGTCATTAGCATGCTGCTTTGGAGATAGATTTTTACTGCTCTTAAGTTGTAGATTTCCTTTCCGACTAGGACAAATCTGTCAGATGAGGAGAATGCAGCTCCATCTAACCAGGATATTGAGGATGATTGTCTGTCTGTTGTCAGATACTGTAGTAAATGCTCAAAGTAAGAACATGAGGGAAATTTAATAGTATTCTAATAAAAAAGAAAATGTGATTACCATACAGCAGATCTTGTAGCCTAGAGTCAGTGTTGAAAACAAAGAATTTAACTCGAGTAAATTATTTAGCATCAAGCATTCTCTTTTAAATTGTCTGCTTTTTGTAGGACAGCATTTTCACTGTGGCAGCTTTTGTATCACACTATGAGATTTGTAGTTGTCCTTACTATGGTCCATAGTAATAGAATGCAACATCACTGTTTTGAAGCAATTATATTGTTTAGTCAAAACTGTTTAAATGAAATCTGTAAAGACAAGTTATTACTTATTTCTATCACTATAGTGCATGTAATCCCAGTTTATGAAGGAGGATGGTAGGTGTGAGCAATTGGGTAGACTCAAGTTTGAATCCGGTGTGTCTTTTGGAAGGACTGAGTGCTCTGTCTCAGTGCTTGTGAAGTATATGGCATTAAGTCTGTAATCTGGCAGACATGGACTTGATGATCCTTGTGGGTCTCTTCCAGCTCGTCGTATTCTGTGATTCTGGGATTCCCAGTGAAGTCATCTTCATTTCACAGCACTGCTGACAAAACTTTGTTTCATCCAAAGTAACTGCTGAAGCATTTAGTACCTATGGTTCTTTTTTCTTGTAGGGTCAACGATTGCATCTTGCGAGTGAACGAGGTTGACGTGTCGGAAGTCTCACACAGCAAAGCCGTGGAGGCCCTGAAGGAGGCTGGTTCCATAGTGCGGTTGTACGTCCGGCGGAGGAGACCTATACTGGAGACCGTCGTAGAGATCAAGTTGTTCAAAGGACCGAAAGGTAGATAAGAAAATTAAAAATACATTCATTTTAAACTTGGTGTTTAACCTCTTTTGTAGTTTAAATGGCATCTGACTTTGTTCATTTACTGACCAGTTGAGTTGACCTGTCAAATACTGAAATGTAGTTCATTTAGGCTGGTAGAAGTTGAATTCATGGTTACATCTCCTCCTGAAATAAAAAGGAGTTCAAGGAATTTGCTTAATTCGATGTTTACTGCAGAGATGTCTCATTACCTTCTAAACACACACACAGATACTATGTGGCAGCATATATAGTACCTCTAAAGTTCCTCTACTCAGACCTTTGACTTTGATTTAAGGTGCAGTTGAATGTGGAGTTTCTGAATTCTTCCTCTTTTCTGAAGGCATTTTGATTATCCAGCTTGCCCTCTCTACTTTCGTTATGGTTTTTTCTAATTATCTTTACAACATGAAGGCAAGAGTATCAACTTTCCCAGACCCATAGATGAATTTTATTTTATTCTTCAACAAAATTATGTGGAATTCTAGCGCAAAACCTTCACTAGTCTAAATGAGCTTTGTCACTTCCAGCAGAACTTTCTGGTTACAAAACAAAATGCCCAATTCCTTTCTAGAAGCATTTTTCTTCATAGCTAATTTCTGGACAAAGAAAATGCTTGTTTTTACAGTACATGTGAATAGAATGAACAACAGTTAATTTTTTTGATCCATAATAGCTATTTTATAAGCAGGTCTTTGATAAATATATATATATAGATATATATATATATATATAATGAAATGAAGACTTTTGCATGTATGTGTAGTGCACATGAGCTTAATCTCTCTATTTTATCTATAGTGAATAATCTGCAGCTTTTTCAGTGTTCTACTTTACATATCCCATCATGTGAATATTATAGTATGCTTCCATATAGGGTTTTTTAATAGTGGAGTATGTTTAATGTATTGAGACAAATTGTTGAGATTGACCTCTAATACTCAAAAAAGATAGTGCAACACTAAAAATAGTGCACTCTTTTACACTGCAGTGTATTCTTTATACTCTGCTCTTGGAAAAGAGTAAGATATATTTAAACATGCATCTGATGGTAAATCCCTGAAAGTCTGGATTCTTGTGGTCAATTACAATGCTGGATTGTTTTTCTAACAGAAAAGCATTTCTAACGGTATTTTGTATGTATGTGAATTCAGAGTAGAAGTGCAGGCAGTGTTTTTAAAGATTTGGAATTAAACTAAGTGTGTGATGTGATAGTCATTTTGAGAGACCTAAGGCTAAAGAAACTAAAATTAACTTGTCCTTTCTGGTTGTGATGAAGCAGTAAAAGCTATTCACCATGACCAAATTTTCACTACATTGTGAAAACGGACAAGAGAGGCAATCATTATCTAATAATGGGTTTGCATCGTGTTTGTTTTGAGTGTATATCCATAACTATTTGTTTTTGCAATTATTTTCATAAAACAGAAAGGATACCAAAAGAGTACCTTTTTAGGGCAAGCTAAAGAATTTTTGTTGCTTCTTGCTGAAAGTACGATTTCGTATCTGTATTCTTATATGAACTTGACTACAGAGAAGTGCTATAAATAATTAATTTTATTGTTAAGCTGAACATTTTTTTTGTATTTTCACTTTTATAGTCAGGTGGAAACATGGATAAAAAATAATTTGATGGGCTAATTTTCTGCAAGAGCCAGGGGTTTTGCCTTCACAATTCAGGCAGCAAGGAAGCCTGCTCTGTTAGGCTTTCTGTATTCTACAGATAAAAAAGCAAAATGAAGAAAATAAATAATTTATAGTTGGGATGAAAACCTTACTAATACTATTTTTAATATCTGGAGCATTTTTCCTTTTTTTTTTTTTTTTTTTTTTTTTTTTTTTTTTTTTTTTTTTTTTTTTTTTTTTTTTTTTTTTTTTTTTTTTTTTTTTTTTTTAATTTGAAATCTTCCATGAAAAAATTATCTCTTGTGAGGCATCAAGCTCTTAGCAGAAGTTGAGAATAAAACCCACCCCTGACTCTTGGTGTTAGTCACACCTGTGATGCTTATCTCCTCATATTTCAGGTGATTTGTCTTCGAACTGGTCTTTCACACCATTACTATGTAATGCAAGAACCACTTAGTATTTATATAAACAGTGCTTCTTATTTCTCAGAGTGAAATTGGTATGTTTTGGTGTCCAGAGCAGGATCTGAAAACCAGGATGGTAGCTTCCACACCATTCCTTCTTTCCTACCCACAAAATTAATAATGAAAGTAAATCTGTTTTTTAGACAAGAGAGTTGTTCTCTACCTAATTTGGAGTAGCAAATATATTTTCAGTTCTTTTCCTGACTGTCTCTGTCAGTATATAACCCAGCATTTACTGAGTTCATTCCTTACTGTCCTGAGAATTTACCACATGAAAGCAAGTCTTGGCAGCCCTAATACCAGGTAAACTCAGAGATCCCTAACTTGCCCATGTGTAGTAGATTATATCTTTTGGCACTTGAAGTTGGTAAAGAAGAAAATTTGCAAGGCTTTATATGTAGAGGTCCTTTTAATTTCATCTGAGATATTCAGGATGAGGGCTTTTACAAGTTATTAGTCCATAGAGGTTAATTTTTGTAGCTAATAACCACCGTATAGAAGACATTGATTAATTTGGTGAATGTATTTTAAACATCAGATATTGAATAAGCATTGTCTGGAGATGGCTTTGAGTGTGTGGCAGAGGGAAGGGCATGGTCTTGTGCTGCTAGGGGGTCCCTTCTGAATGCAGATCCCCATGCAGTTGTTCCTGTCGCTTTACAGAAAGGTTCTCCTAGTGTCATATGTGCTAAACCTGTAACATTTTAGTTTTATTTTTGGGAGGAGAAGAGGTAAACAAAGACACAAATGATTTGTGTAATATGAAAATCAAGGGTTCAAAGAGAGATTCAGCTGTGTAGGCATTTAAATCTGATTATCACTTTGACACACCTGATGGCAAATATTGGCAGATAGCCACAGTCTGTGTTTTGAAGGTAATTGCTAACTGTCATCCTTGCAGGCTCTTCCTCTCTTTCATGTGCTTGGGAGATTGCCTTTTGTATGCCTCTTACATGTCTCTCCAGGCAGGTATGCAATTCACTGTATGGCTTTGCCAAGGATTGAGTGGCCAGCAGTAGATGTTTTGTTTCAGTCACTCCCAGGGCACAGCCGATTTTAGCAGCCAGCATCTCTACAGTGGCTGACAGCTGTAACAGAGGAAAGATATGCTTGCAGCTTTCTTATTTAAATCACTGGGATTTAGACACTACTGAAAATCCTGTCATTAAGTAATATTCTTTTCTTGCTCTGTATTGAAACAAGACTAGCAGTAATGAGAATGGATTGCAATGCTGGATTGCAATGCTTGGATTTGCAATGGATTTGCAAGGGATTGCAAATGCTGCAATGTTTGTTCCTGGGGAGCAAAATGCAGGCATTCAAAGAAAAGCAGTTTAATGGTGCTGTTTAGCTTTGTAATATAACTCATGCATTAGCTTCCTGTAAGACCCTGCCAAGAACTTTGTATGGGCAGTGAGTTGTGAACTTCAGTCACTGTTAGGGGTTCCAGTGCTCAGTCCCATTTCATTGCATTTAACTGAAGGATTTTAAACCAAAGTAGTTCCACTGACCTCAAGATTTTCATGCTGTCTTATCACAATCCAAATATACTTTTACTAAACCCATAAGCATTCAGTAGTATGATGATGCACAATTAGTATGCTCATGCACAAGTGACGGAAATTAAACCTGATACATTTTTCTTTCATTTTTTAAATGATCAGCAGAAAAATGTATTTCTAATATTGTAGAAATTTTATAGCAGTCAGAAACTTGGGTAAACACAGAGGTCATGTAAAATATTATCAAATTATTTGCCTACCTAGTTGATAATTTAAGCTCTGATATAATGTACCAGAAGGGAAAAAAAAAATGGGCAGAAAATAAGGATTCTTGTAACTACAGCATTCTCGGATCAGCTAATACACTTTTGACCTCACTTCTGTGGGAAATGTGTTGTCTTAAAAGACATCAGAACTGCAGAAATGAAGTTCAGGGTATGTGAAGCAGAACAGCTGAGTACCAGGAAATTTCAGAAGAAAAATGTCAGACTGAAAAACACCCAAAAAAAGGAACAACATAAAGTACAGCTAATTTTGCTATCTGGATATGCTGGTGACTTGAGTATAAATTCACAGAGAAACAGGATTACTTTCCTACACCCTTCATGATAATAGTGCCTATCATTACAGTGTTTGAGCTGTGTCAGGATCTTGCCACGATGACTGGAGCTGCCTTCTATTCATGATATTTTTGATGAAAGGCTCTTAACACACCAGCAGTTCTCTCACTTTTTGTTTTCTAAAAGCATAGTTTTTGGTCATTCCTGATGAATTCAACCAGTGACACATTTTTATGAGGTCCACCTCACACAGCTTTGGGCACTGGAAGATATATAGAGTCACTTAATTCTCTACTCTTTTAACTCTCAGAATTAGGGCCATATCAAAACTTTTCTTTTAATCCATTTGGAGTGTGATTATATTTTGGGGCTTCGGATTAAAAATTTATGTATCTCTTAAGCACTGTTCAGCCCTATTCTGTATCTCCCTCTGGATGGCTATCCTTATCTTAAATTTTTTAATCAGCAAAGGCAAAGTTCCTAAACCAGACGTCTCAATAAAATATGCAAAAATAAAATAGGGTTAATACAAAGGTCATAATGCTCATTTATTTTGAGAGTTATGTATATCTGTCTAAATGTTAGACTACGTCATTGGGCATAACCAGTTCCAGAGTTCCCATTTCATTGTGCTCTGTGCTGGACTCAAGCCGCTCTGTGGCACATGGTAGATTTTCTTTTCCCGTAACTATTTGTTTTATTCTTGATGTCATTGAGTAAAGTCAGTGGACGGCAATGAAGCTTTCTTACTATACTAAGAAAATAATCAGTATGGTTTAATTTGTGCATTTTTAACTCTCTTGTAAGTTATGAGATTTTCTTGA